GGGGGGGGGGGGGAATATCCAGTTGAAACCATCAATAACTGTGTTAAGCATCTTATAAAGCTACAAAACTGTATCTTCATTCTGGTCTGTAGAAATTCTTCTACAGTTTAGCTACTTACGAATCCATCTGCTACATTAACTTATACCACATACACCACCATCTGAATACCGTGAAAGAAAGAATTGCTTCTCTAAGCAATTTGCTCACTTTACTGAGCAATACCCCTGTGCTTCTGCATGCACAGATAAAGTGGATGGATTACTTTCATGTACAGTTTATGACAGATCTGACTTTAATGTTTTAGTTAAGGTACTCCTCAGTTTGTCACACACATAAGACTGTTCAACAGCACTTAACATGAATAATTAGAACAAACAGCACTGGAATCTTTCACATCATATGAAGAACTTCCCTGTTATAATAAAGAGATAGGAGCAGAGATAAGAATCCCATATGGGAAACCAATGGGACTGCATAAATAAGGGACAGATTAAGGGGAGTAGGATTTGGTCTTGAGTCAGGCAGAACATTTGAAAGGTACCTTGATAACCCTTTGCTCAACCACAGTATCCAACCATTCAATAAATGATTCCACAGTGGCATTCTTCTTTAGAAGGTCCTTCAGTTCTTGGAACACTGTAATAGAGTCATCTACCATGTAAAAAGGAGAACATATCATTGCACGATATTCTGAACGTGAGAAAAAGCCACTCACCAGCCATATGACAATATTGTAGCATGGAAAGGAAAAGCAAAGAATTAGAGCAGTGAAGAAATATGCAATTCTCCAGCAAAGCAGACACACATATGTCACACATATATGTTTTAATTACTTAAGCATTACAATGTTACAGGTTGTAAGACAATGAAGTTTTACAAGAAAACAAAAGAAAAAACCCTGATATTTTTCATTCCTTTTAAGATTCAACTTTGAAAACTATTCTATTACTAAGTTAGTAGCAAAGCTTTGTCTATAATGTAGCAGATTGGTATACTGTCTTAGGTTTCCCTTATATTTTATAAGTTTCTCACAATCTAATGTAAAGCTAACTTCCTCAATTCCCATTTGCAAAAAAAGTGCCTGAATCAGCAGTTATTTCTCTTCTTTTTTTAAACCACTGTGAAAGAAGACAAAGAAAACATAGAAAACAATTATTTTACACAAAAAGTAGGAAATGGGCAACTCAAATGAAAATGTGAATAGAATTGTGAACCATTGAAGAGAACAAACTTTCATGATCAAAGTAACAATATTTGGAGTACAACACATTGCTATTCCTATCAGCTCTACAAACTCTGTTCAGTATGAGTCCTATGACAAAAGTTATCTTTTTAATAGAGAAAATGGCTATATCTTTTTTTCAACAACAGGTGTGTATATTAAAATTAACACTCTCAAAATTTGTACTTTATTCTGTGTTTGAAATTAGTTGTTATACTTTATAGAAAATTATAGGGTTTTTTAAAGATCAACTTTCAGAAAAAAAATCTATTCATCACCAAAAATAAATTAAACTAGCTCAAATATCCATTAAATTAAACCATAATGATAGGAAATGTTTGAGACATCAATACTGAGCTAGATTAGAGAATGCACTGACAACATGTGCCTTTTCTCAGTTCATCTCCAAGTAGACTAGTGTGGCATGGAATGAAAGAGCAAATTACTTTTAATAATGCAACTATACCACCATGGACTTACATTCACTGTAGACCTCTCCATCAGAGTCTGTGCTCCCTGAGACTGCAAGGAGTGCCTGAGAGCCAATACTATTCAAATCAACTTTTTCAATATCCGACACCATGGAATTCACCACGTGCTGATCAAAAAGGGCTGGCCGAGCAATCTGCAAAGGCAAGGTAAAATGCTGAGACCTTGGCATGGTTTAACCCCAGCTAGCAGCTAAGCACCACACAGCTGCTCACTGACTCCCCAACATGGGATTGGGGAGAGAATTGGAAGTGTAAAAGTAGGACAACTTGTGGGTTGAGATAAAAGCAGTTAGTAATTTTAGAATAAGAATAGTAAGGAAAAGAAAAAAAAAAAAAAAAAGAAACAGAGAGGGAAAAACAACCCAAGAAAGACAAGTGATACAAATGAATCACAATCACTCACCATCAATCAACCAATGTCCAGCCAATCCCCAAGCAGTGATGTCCCTGCTAACCTTATCCCTAGTTTTATGCTGAGCATGACATCATATGGTATGGAATATCCCTTTGGTCAGTTGGCTTTAGCTGTTCCAACTGTGTCCCTGAACAACTTTATGTGCACCTTCAACCTACTCGCTCGTAGAGTGGGGTGAGAGGCAGAAATGGCCTTGGCTCTGTGTGACCACTGCTCAGCAATAATGAAAACATCCCTGTGTTATCAACACTGTTTCCAGCACAAACCCAAAACATAGCCCCATGCTAGCTACTATGAAGAAAATTAACTCTATCCCAGACAAAACCAGTACAGACCCACACATGAGGATCACCTGAATAACTCCTCAGAGAAGAATCATATTCTGTTTAATATTCTTATCATGGCTGGGGTTTTTGTAAATCGGATGAGATAATGTTTCCCTTCCATTAGACTTCTAATGCTCTTTTAATGTGACTTCCTAATTGCAGATAGCCTTGGAGCCCTCAGCTACATGTCACTCATGTTCTCCTTTCAGTCAAAACTCAAAAAGAAATAAGCTCACTAAAGGACATCATGGACAAGACAGTGAACCTTTGCTAAGCAAGAAAGATCATCTGATATTTTCCAATTTGGAATTAAACCATACCCATATATTCCACCTCATCATTTGACTGCCAAAAGTTCCCATGATAGTAGTTCATTACAACCATGGTCTTTTCTCTCTTTTCTACTACAAAAGTCTGAAGTTTTGGTCAGATCTATTTACGGCCCCTTCCTTCTTGCATGGTTAGAACTACAAGATGTAAGTCTTCCATGGCTGAAGTTGAACCTTGAAAAAACAATGCGCTGAATCTCATAGCCAGCAAGGTGTGCTGAATGTAATTGACAATTTTTTGGATGTATAGTCTTATTCTGTTTACCTGTGCTAGGTGCAGGAATGATGTCTGTCGTTTCAAGGAAGAAACAAATCTTCGTGCAATAGGCAGTTTCTTATCTGTCAGGTTTTCTGGTAGATTTTCCAAAGAGGAAACAACCCACTGTTCCCAGTTTTTTGCAAAATTTCTTATATCTGCCAGTAAACTACAGGAAAAAAAATGTGTTTTAGAGAAATATCAATAAAAATTGTCTTGCATTAGTTTAAATAATTGGGTTTCAATCTATTATTACCAGACTCCTGGACATATCTGTGAATTACTCCTCAGGTGTCACCAAAAGGGAACAGGAAATGACCAATCATCAAAAGGCTGAATTGACTATATATTGATCCTTACCTCCTCTGAGAAAAAATGTAAGCCATATGATGATTGAAATAGGTTGAAAAACAATAGCTTTAAGAATAAACCATAAGAAATCCAAGAATAATTAGAGATACCTGAAGCTAAAGGCCTTTGTCAGATATAAACCCCTAAACAAGATGCCCTTCAAGGGAAAGGAAAGATGAGAAAATTCAGAACTTATAGTAATCCTCTTATTAATGTCTTGTTGAGAAAATGCTTAGATATTATGGTGATGCATAGGATACAAACCTGAGAAGTATTCTGAAAAAAAGGTAATTATTTTCCTTAAACAACACGTTTGTTTTTTGATCTTCTAGGGATTTAGTGTAGAAGAAACCATTTCAAATTATGCAACAAGCCAGTAAAATGGGACACTAAAATACCATGTAGTATTTTAAGGCTCTTCAATAGCTGTCTTCAGAGCTGACAGTATTTTGCCACACATACTCTATTGTTCTAAAAATGAGCATAAATATCTCTAGGATATAGAATTTCTGCTATTTATCTGGAATGTGCCTAACAAACAGAATGTATCATTATTATTATTATTATTATTATTATTATTATTATTATTATTATTATTATTATTATTATTATTATTATTATTGACAAATACCTACCTTTCTGGCATTTCTTGCATTGTTGCAGGGATGAGCACATCTGTAAGGACCTTCAAAAAGGTAACAGAAAATGGTATCAAGCTTCTACTGGCCATTTATTCATTCATGTCCATCTTGTCTACTTAGATTGCAAAGGACAGAATAAAGCCATTCAACCTATTGTCCAGATATTTATATACCTGGATTTCTCCCATCACTATTAGATAGGAATGTATGAGATATTTATATACCTAGATAGCTCACCTTTTTAATGTATGCCAGCATGCCATTTAAACAATAAAGTGCTATCACTCCTGCCCTGAAGTAGGGAAATCAGTAGAAGTGAGATGCATAAACACTCAGTAAAGCAGATATTCATGCATCTCCGAAGTCCTTGAGTGCTATTAGCCATTTGACTCTTCTTTCTGCCATACTGGATGAGGCACTGAAGGTGTCCAGAGTTTAGGACAAATAACTACGTGTGGTGTGGGGCTGTTTTGGAAGAAAACTGCCATCTGGCATGCCTTCTGGGGAAGAAATGTTATTGTGGAGAGCAAAGTTGCTAGCCTATATTCCAAAAATCTGTTTCCATTACTAATGTAAATGGTTTGATAACAACGCAATAAAATTCCTGCTTCTTTCTGGAAGCACTGCTGTCAAGAATATCTAACATGATTGTAAGTGAGAAACAGTGAGAGACAGAGAAGAAGCACAATAAATAGTACATTTATGAACTTTTGAGAAATTGTGTCTTATTAAATTTATAATTCAGTGCTCCTGTAGTATTTCTTCTTCTGTAAAATTAAATATTTATTACAAATAATGTTGGGATAGCACGTTTAGAGCAGGAAAAAAATCATAAACTCAAAGCACTCTGTAACATCTACAAGTAAATGAAGCTTAATGGTGCATCTCCAGGGTAGTAATTATGATCTTTGATGCTAAATAAAACACCTCTCCTTACTTTATAGCTTGATATGCTCCTAAGAAATATGTATTTTCACCTTTTCTGGATTTTTTTCCCATATTTTTGTCCAGTAAAGAATGACAAATAGATTAAAATAAGGCACTCACTGCTCAACAGCCCCAAACCTCTTGTTTTCACTGCTTGGTGTTTACTGTTATGCCAATAGTTGTTTCTTTCCATCAATATGTGGTTATGAAATGTGTTAGAGAGGATGACAGTCTTTTTCTATTTATATGGCATGTCCTTTCACAGAAACTTGAAGTACTTTACAGCTATTAATTAATAATCTGATTTTCCAAATCAAAAACTCAGGAAACCCTGGAGGCATTGTTTTCTTTATTTTTTCCCCAGTATTCTATTGCTTAATCCTGACCTTGCACTACTCCTTAGTGTCACCTAGTTTCAACTACTTGTGTGGTCATGCTGTGAACTAGATCAAAGAATTCATATGGCACAAATACTCTGCAAAACAAATATTCCTTAGATTTCTTTTTAAACTCAAACCAGTTCAGAGTACAGCAGTTCTGCTGGTACATCTAGCAGCATAGGAACAGAAATGAAGTGTAGCAGACAAGAGAGGCAGGAATATCTTAACTCAGTATTGTTCAAGCTTTGTAACTTGAAACCATGGCCTGATATAACCTGTGAGGAGCAGATTCACATGTGGAATCACCTCACTGATCTGCCACAGACTCTCTTTGCTGGTAGAAACTGCAATAATCTTTAAAGTTAAAAACAAGGCTTCAGCTTTCATCCAGGCTTAACTTAGTCAGTCTTGTCAGTGAAGCATACAAGCATTTTTTTTAGCTACATTCAAGCAAGTTGGTCAGTATTTCACCGTTAGTGTGCTGCTTGTAGTCACACATCAATTGTGCAGCAGACCTGAGACTGGAGTTCAGCTCTTACATGTGCCAGTGAATCCTTGCTAATTTACACAGATAAGAGGCAGAAAGTAGTCATGGCATCCTGCTATTCTAATTTCAACGCTGTTTTTACACAAGCAAAAGCTGTAACATGGTTGAGATTATTTATGTAGCTAAATGCTTCATTTACCTTATACAGTATTGAGTCACAAACACAGAAGATGTCAACGATGATGGGATTTTCAAGCAGGGGAAGAAGATGGTCAGGCATTCCTTGCCAAAAATGTAATAAGAAATGCTGAATCTAAAGGAGCAGAAACCAGATTCATGGACATAAATAATGCTTTCTTGGCTCCCTGTGCATATAGACCAAGAATGTGTGTTCAAACAACCTTACCTCTTCAAAGTTCCCATTAATTGCATTGTCAAGGACACACTGACAGTGTGTTTTGTACATCATGATAAGAGTATCTACCTATTTTGGAAGAAAGAAAGATTAAACAGAGTTTCTTAGCTCTCTACTACTATAGTGATCTAGGTTTCTGCTTTCTGTAGCTAGTATTTAAATAAAAAATAGAAACTGTATTACAATGCATATTTACAAATAGGCAGTCTATATATCCAGAAGTGATGAGAAGGTCACTAATCTCTATTTTTTTTTTTGACACCTTTAAGTCTCAATGCTGTTGTCAGAAACGTAGCATCTTGGAAATGTGGATATCAAAGTAAGGCAACAGCTAGATTAACCAGTCAGATGGTAAAGTAAATTCACCTTTCTGAAGCGAAGATTAATCCCAAAGAGTAGTGCAAGTTAATCATTAGGCTACTATAGGCGTCTATGAGTGTTCTGAAACATCATCTAGTTGGACAAATGAGAAAATAGCTGCCAGTCATTTGGTCAAAGTTTAATCACTGCCTTACACGAACTGAACTTTAAAAAGCAGAACTCTCTTTCATCTCATCAGGCTAATTTATCGGAGTGGAGTGTTCCTTTATTTTAATAACTGTGCAGAGGTATTACAAGACTTTGTAAAAAAGGTAGTAGATTTTTAAAATTATAGCAAATTATAAACCAAGAAATTTGTAAAGAATTTTAAGGAAAGAAAAATGCTAGGAAAACCATCCTTATGGTCCAGAATCACAGAAAGTTTGTCACAGCTTCTCTGGCAAATGAATATCAGGTTTCAAATGAACCTAGTAAAACCTTACTTCAATTGGTTTAGCATATAGATTTCTTTGAAAATGGACCTTGCTGACTTCCAGAGCTGCTTCTGTAACTACACAACTTTGAAAAACAATGGCAAAGTGTGAGATACAAGAACATTTTAAAGATTTTTTTTTTTTTGTAGGGGTTGATGGAAGTTGAAAGTTTGGGTAAATTCTCTTCAGAAGCATAAAATGCAGAAATTATCAATCTATTTTAGTGCAGACTGCTACATGTATGGACTCTCCAGAGATCTCAGTTGCATGCAATTTCTTAGGAGTTTAATGCAGGAGTCAAACTTCATGTATGGGCTCTATTCAACACAGTACCTAAATATCTTAGGTTCAATAACCCTTAGTCAAATAAGCTGAAGGAGGGGAAAGACACTAAGGAAAGAAAACATGAAATAAGAGAACAAGGAATGCAGAAAGAGCAGCAAGGAAAGAGAGAGCAGGAGACACATGGAAATTTATCTCTTCCCACAGTCTCCTCATAACTCCATGAGTCTGTCCCTAGACAGTCACCCACAGAGCCTTGCTGGTACCAACATCAGAGCAATTACATGCTGCCGAACCAAAAATGAAGAGAAAATGAGTTGCATCTTTTTCTTCATTTTTGGAGTGGTAAAATTGAGTTTTGCTTACACTGCTGTGTTGGCTCTGCAGGGAACCTCAAATGCTCTTCAGATTTAAATGTCATGAGAATGCTGTATACATGAGAGGTGTCAATTAACTGACGGAGACTATAGCAGCAGGTGATGCACACTGCTGAGTACACCAGTTCTTGGGCTTTCTTTAGGAACTGTAAGATTTCCAGCTAAGATCTCTGTACTATAGATGACTCCTTTTGTTTAGCTCCTCATAACAGGAATCATAGGCTTCGCTACTTTCATAGAATAAACATAGGCACATAAACCAAAAAGCTTTAAAGCAACATATCTCAAGACAGCCTCCATTATGACCTGTACTGGAGGTTAAATTGGAGAGTTCACAATGTGTATCAAAAGATTTCTAGCACAGTTCAGGGAAGTAGCAGCCTGTAACATGACCAGAAACAACACACATGTAACACACAGGCAAGGAGTCAAAGACATAAAACATATGCCAGCAATACTTCTAACTGAACAGTTACCTTTAGGATGAGTAATACTGCATATTAATTTGAAGAATATGATTTTACTAATTAAAAAAAAAAAAAAAGCTCAAATTTTCACAGTCTCATTTCAAACAATTAATGAAAAGGAGTAAAGTTCATCTAATTATTTGTTGTGAATTACTTGTTCTGATCTAATCAGAACAAAATTTACCTTAAATCCAAAGGCATTTGGAATGAATACAACTCTTAGTTATTTGTTTGTTTTGCTCTCCGTCTTACATACCATCAGTTTGTAAAATACTAGGTCAGTTAATAGGTAAATAATTCAACCACCTTTCCAGTGGAAAGCCAGTTAATCGGTGTTAGTAAAGGTTTGCCCCCTCTATAAATCAGTCACCTCTGTTTGATTATGGACATTTCTGGCTCTTTCATGTCAATACCTCAAAGGCTAAGATATGAAGAAACATTCTGTGGCAATTTTTGATCTGTAAGTCAGAAGAGAAGTAGCTCACATTTTACCTTGTCTTTAGAAATGCACCCTTGAAGCAAAAGGTGTTGAGCACTTGGAAACTCTGGGAGGAGAGTTCCAGTTTTGGAACTCAGAGAATATTTACGAGTGAAACCACCCTGAAACGGAAGATAAAAAACAGGAACATTTTACAGCTAATATAGATTTAACTCAAACCAACAATTCATGCCAAACTTGTATATTATCTCTCATATACAAGTATATTTGAGTCTCTCAAAGTTCCAGAATATTTACATTCAGATAACCCTTCCAAAATATTGATGCTTATTCAGATCTGGATTCCAGCTCAGGAAGGTAATTAAATATATGTCTAGATCTAAACTTCACCAAATACATTTTTCAGTGATGCAGCTTTTGAGCCTCATTAATTCATGGAATTCTACAAGCTTTGGATTTAATCTATGTTTAAAACTAAAGTGGAATATTACTCTCCTCTACAGTATGGACTGTGATATCCTCAGGGAGACCCTAAATTTAATTTAATATGTAGCTTTCTAGTGCAAGGATCTGGAGATATTGTTTTCCCCTGGTCTCTTCCTGCTCTGATAGCACAGCAATAGTGATTTCTGCTGGTTTACTATGGTAACCATTATTTTATCATAAATTTTGATAATATTTTATGGTGTTATAGATGCAATGGTTTGTAGGGTCTATGGACACTTCTGAACTAAGTATTTGTTATATAGCTCTCTGTGATTGTGGCAGACTTGACATGAAGCCCCAGTTTCCTTTCTCAGTAAGAATGATATTCCCAGATGTTTATTGTTCTCCATTTACTTTTCTGAGGCACGGTCAATGATGACCTGGAGACAAGATCAATTTCTCCTGAACTATGCTACATTCTGCTGATCTGAGAGTTTCTTTCAATTCTTAAAGAGTTCACCTCTCAAGCATCTTTAGCTTGTGACATCTAAAGCATCGTAGACACATCTTGTACTAGTTACAGAGTGAGGAAAGATAATTGAATAATTATTAAGTGTTAGCCTGTAGAGGGATGGGAATGAAGGATGAAACATTAAGCACTCTTGTATGTCTGGATACTGACCGTGAAGCAATATGTGGTAAATCAACCTTTGTTTAGATTCCTAACCTAATACTCTCACAAGATATGATTCAGTCTACTTCTCAGTAAAGTTGAGCTGTAACATTCTGTAGTGATATAGTGTTACTATGCTTATATTTATAATGCTTACCACATTACGCTTATTAAACTCTCAAATTATATAATTAAGATGAAACCCTCGTCCTCAAGAGAAGAAATAAAATCTGTACAATCTGTCCTTACTGACTGAATTGTACTTATAGGATTGCATTCAAACCTAGAGAAGACTATTTGGCTGATACCTCTTGTTCCATTATAGCTCACCCAGTCCTTACATCAAGGCAGCCTACAGAGCCTTGAGCAGGCCTTCTGCATATTCCTGCAGTAAACCCATTTACTTCTGACAGGTTCCCTTTGTACTAATAGATGGAATTTATGACCCTGCAAGAGGCTTTTGAACGGTACTTGAAGTGGCCTTTTCCTACTCCTTTGCATACAGTCAGATTTCACTGAAGTGGGAACAGTGGGTATATAGTGTAACATTTATTGTAAAAGTGTGCAAAGGGGAGTACTTTCCCATAAATGTTGATTCATGGATTAGAGGCCAGTTTCAAGTGAAATTCTCTTAAATACTGAATTCAGAAAACTATAGCTGGCATCCACCATATATAATAGCCCTATTTTTATAGGGTGATACGTCTGCCAAAACAGACAGCAAGGAATGAAGGCATACATTCTGTAAACACACTTTGCCTGTGCTATCTACTATTCAAATACATATAAAGCTCGAAGTCAAAGAAATTGTAGAAAATTAGAAACATTAGTACTAATTCATGTCAATACTTTTACAGTGTTATAATTGCCTATCAGTATCAGGAGGTTTACTTTTTTTAATAACAAGAGTAATCCTAATGATTTTATTATGCAGTTATGCACAAATATATTAAAAGCTCTGATTAAAAGGGATTAGTTCATTTAAAAGAAGGCAGTGATGGTGGTGGGAGGTTTTAAGAGAAGATAATCTGCAATGTTTTTTACCTTGCTAATGGATTTATATGACTGTGCTTCAGTTCTAGGCTTAATATTTTAACCCACTACCACTTGCCCTTTCAATTTAATGCCATCTGTTTCTAATGGCCATTTAACATTAAGATAATGACAGTAATATTATCTGCCTAATTAACCATACAGACTGTAATGGAGCACTAACTGGTTTAGATAAAAGAATTTGCTGATATCTCCCCCTACAGAGAGAATACTAGAAAACGTGATAAAACATACCAGAAGTAAACAGTGTCCCTGGCACTCAACAAGTGTTCATTCAAATGCCATTTACTCAGTATATTTAGACAATCAGTGCCTTAACATCTTTTCAATGTCTTTATGTTCCTTCTGAGAATTACACCTTATGCAATCATTGTAAATCTTTCTGGAATACCTAATTGCATGTACTTTTGAGCAAATGAATAAGGATGTATCACCTGTTCACTTTAATGGAAAGTATGATGCCAAATTTTCAACACACACTGAGGTTGTTAAAATTCAGTTTTGACCATAAAAGACATGCTTTTCTTTTAAGACTTGCCTGAATAATTTTAGACAACACAAATCTAGACAATCCAAAATTCATACTTCTTCACTTATTTCCACTGAGTTCTCTGTGATTCTTTTTCTGGGAGGACAAAACTATTGAACTTTGGGGCAGAAACAAGAGAAGGTTTATGGGACTGTCAGTTCCCAAACAGGCTGGGAATGCTGCAACAGAGATGGAAGTAAATGTGCATTCATTTATGACATTTTTCATCCCAAAACTCTGAAAGAATGAATGCTTTAGTAGTGCTCGTGAAATGTGGGATATGCCATGGCTTCGCACTACCTTTTTTTGGTAAGATAGTTGATTATCTGAACATGCAGCAGATCTAATCTATCTGAACCTCACTAAAATACTTAACATGGTATCACCATAGGAAATTATTAGTTATGCTGGTGAGAAGGGGATTAGTACAAGAACCTAAAATGTTTAAGAAACTGACCTGAGCTGAAATGCTAACAGGTTGTGTTGACAGGGAAACTACTGGGTTGAAAAGGGATTGAAGTGAAGATTCTCAAAGATCAGACTTGGGGCTGATCTCATTGAACATTTAATAGATGAAATTGGCTGACATAAGCTAATGAAATCATCAATAAAGAGGAAGATCAAGAGGTCATGTAGAAAGATCTGGATGGCTTTGAGATAATGGCAATAGAGGGGACAAAAATCAATAGGGCAAAGCTACACTCTCAAGAACCAGTAAGATTTTCTGCTATCAGCTAGGAGTTGCTTATCTAAAAATGAAAAAGGAGAGACTTGCTGTGTATCAGTTGATCACAGAGGGTATATTTAGCCTAGTAAATTAAGTGGTGTCAAGAAACATTCCCAGGCAGTACTAGAACAGAATGGCCCCTGTCATTCTTTTCTCCCATGCCAGTTAGCAGTTTCCCAAAAAATTCCTAGCCGTGCTTCAACAGTTACTACATTCTAGGGACCCTTCTCTATGGCAACGTGGCTGAAATGAGCCTATGTTGTTTTGTAGGTTCAGGAGTTTAATAATATGGATACAGGCTATTCCATGCCAGTTGAACTCAGTGTCAAAGAAAAATCCTGGGAGCAATCCTTAACCCTTAATATACAATAATCCGTAATCTTCTAGTATAAATATGACCAGAATGACACTGACTATACCCATAGTATACAGTAGTGAAAATGTAGGCTACTTGGGGGAAAAAAACACCACCAACAAAAAAGTAAACACAGTTTTAGGGTTTATCAGAAGAGATATTTCCAATAGACATTGGAGACATGCCATTTACAAGGCTGTATATTTTTTCTTCTATAAAGATATTCAAATCTGAACAAGTACAGTGAAAGGCTATAAGGCTGATCAGAAGTGACTAAAAGCTGCTGCTTGTTATGTCTAGCAAGCAAAAGCAGAAAAAAGACATCACAGGAAAATGTCATGAGGAGGAAAAAAATGGAGAAAGACTATCCTGACCAGGAGTTTATTAAAAAAAACAACTCTTTTAGCTTCCATCAGACAAATGAGATTCTCAAAAAGCCCTCCTGCAAAAGTAATGGATGCAAAAAATTAAGCTAGAGCTTGATCCTTTGCTTAAGCAGGTCTATTATGAACCTCTGTGTTTATGGGGAACTGGATTGGAACAGGAACCCCAGAAGGTGTCTTGCAGTCTTATTTTCCTTTGAATATTTAGAGGAGCAAATACTCAGCTTCATGAAAAAAGGTTATGCAGTCTAATCTTTAATGAAAAATATTGCTGTAATTTTCAAGGAAGTGAATGTAAATAAAATCACAGGTCACATAATATTTGAATAACAGAAGTGAAAGGAAACAGACTACAGCACTTACCTCATTCTTTAACTTGCTTCCAGAGAACCTTTGAAAATAAACACAATTTATTATTTTTTTATAAGCAGAACATTTTTAGAGTTTGTATATATATACACATAGAAAATAGATATATTAAATAAATCAATTAGAAAAAGTATCACATTTCCCCAAATGTAATTATAAAAAAAATCATGTGTTTTTCTTAACATCTTCCATTGGTTTGCAAGTGCCTGAGGATATCAAGAAACCTACTGATGTCTTCTAAAACATGATGATTCTGATCACTGACCAAATAGTAAAGGATAAAACCCAGTTTCAGTTTTTTCTTTGGATCTTTGCAACTTTACAAATAGCAAAAGGGCAGCATAGGTGCAAGTCCATAGGCTCTTTACCAGGAAATACATAAATTTTTTGATACAGCTGAGTAAAATCAGAGTAGAAAAAAAATATTTAGAATTTACCCTTCTCAAGAAAATGAAGGAATCATGGTGATTTTCCATTCTTTTTCCCCACAGTGTTATTCTGATGCAGGTGAAATGCATTTCTGAGATCAAAGATTCATTAACTGGCAAAAATGTGTTGCAGTGTAGTGAATGTCCTATTAAGAGTCCAACTGAGAGATTCCCAGTGAAGTTGCTGGACTCTCAGGCAACTCTACAGTGCAGAAATTAGAAAGCATGTGTTTTAAATTATAACTACTAAACTAGAGAGTGTGTAATGATAGAGATTCTAATGGGTCAGTATAATGATAAATGTTGATTGATTATTGTTATTTCCTGTTCTGCTAGCTGACAACTGATAAGATACTATGGGCAACATGAAATCTTATAATTATAAGCAGCAAAATTGTGATTTCATGATGTTGAGATGCTCTGCTGGCAGGAGAGAAAACCAGAGGCTGAGCGGATGATCCAGCATATGTTACCTAGAGTTCCCTTGGTTGTTCATAAATGGGTATGAAAGAAGGCATCACTCAGTTGATTACAACGTGGATCCAATTAGCTTCATAGCTGGATGTATTTGTTATGGACTGCGGATTTCCACATGCGCAGCAAAATGAACACAGAATGTACAGCAAAAACATGAGGCAGCATCTGCTAGCATTGTTCTTCCAGTGCCTTAATTGTGAGCTAAAGCTGCTCTTCAGACAGTGCTGTTGAAAGTAACGATTTTTGATGTTAGGTATGCTCCTTTCACAGTCCAATGCTTGATATTAAAGGAACCGGGAGGTCAAATTAACAGTGGAATTTAAGGATTTTGCCATCTGCAACCATGCATTTAAGGACTATTGTACTCATCTCAATTACGTAAATATTAATACACAAATGCCAATTAAGTTTGAAATGGCAGTAGAAGCCTAGTTGTATTTAGGCAACTAAACTGAGGCCCATTGCCCCTTCTAATCTTTTGACAAACGGCCATCTAACATGCCCTGTGCTAAAGGCCTCCATATGCCTATATTTGTGCATGGACATGGTGTGATCTGATACCATTATCAACACATATATTTTCCCTGACTATTCCCCAAGCTTGATTCAGGAACCATTTTTATAGCTCACCTACCAGAACAGACAACAGACAAATGACAGATTTTATGATGGATCATTATATGCAGCAGCCAGCAATTTGTAGATTTACACTCAATTTTGAATCCCTACACTGCTTGATTCTTTCCTTACCCAGAAGCTTGTTCTCAACTCCAAGCTACTGCATCAGTCTCTTCACACAGACAAATTCAACTACAGTGATGGCCCAGATGTGCAAAATGAGCATTTAAGCTTCTATTCTAAATCAGCTAGGGAGGCAATTTGACTGCTGGACTCTGAAAATTCAACATCTTGTACATAAGAAAGCAAGTCCTAACACAAAGAAAGTTTCCTAACTAGTGAATCTAGTCAGCACTCCTGAAAATCTTGGAGAGTATCTGTGCCATCTTTATGTGAGTGTATATTGTCAGAAATCTAGCTGGGGCGAATTTTGCAGAACCTCCACTTTCTTTGCAATCATTGTTGCTACACTGTCCAAGGACAGATCTTTACATGAAAAGGGCACTGGCTGACATAAAGCTGAGGACTAAGATTGATTATATTCCCTTAAATGAAAATAACTGTCTTTTAGTTAATTAAATGAGCAATTTGTTCAAGACAATTCTGTATTATGAAACAACCCAATCTCACTGTGTACTAGCAACATTTCCACAGCTCTGGATAAATACTGGACAAGGAAATGGCCTATTCCAGTCTGTTATACCGTAAATAAGTCCTGCAGTGGAGAGATCCCTCCTTTTAAGAATCATTGGCAACATTACCATCAATTTTTACACTTGTCCTACTGTTTGGAAAAAGTCTCTTTGGATATTACCTAAATCTGCCAGCAACTGAATTTTCTATGTGTGATGATAAATTGATTTATTCCTTTCCTTTCTCAGAGTCCCCACTTATACAGGTATACTGCTGTAGACAATGAAAGCCATCATTCAAGCCATATGTGAACAGAGACATTTGTTTTACGAACTATTAATCTTTGGCAAACCAACAGGCAGCTATCGTAACGTATTGATTCTGCTAGCTGTCCCTTAAATAAATATAATTAGAGCTTCCTGGGTTAGGTTTAAACTGATATTAGCCAGTCAAAGGACCTGTAAATATTAATCTACGCTGACCCCTCCCTTCTGCCCACAGGTGCCAGCTTCACACCATTCTCCAGACGTTTCATAATGGGAAGCTGTCCTGGGGAAAGAACTCGGAGAGTGACACGCAAGCAAACAGAATGAGACAAGTGTTCTGGAAATGGCATTTTGCTGCCTCACAAGAACTTGAACAAATCCTCTGCTGTTAGAAGTTGATGCAGCTCTGTGCTGACTGTGGTGGGGCCATGATGGAAGACACCAGCAAAAGATCTAGATCAACCTCTTAAAACAAAATCAATGTCTTTAGGAAGCAAACCACTACTTAAATCTAGGAATGCCAGACATATGCTGTTCTGGTATCAACAAAAATTAGTGTCTTAAGGGAAGGTTCAGGTTAGACCTTCACTGATTAAGTCTCAGAAGTTATGTTATTGTACCTGGTTAAGCCTTTTCCAGAATACACAGAGTGGTAGTATGCACTGCTTTCTTTAATGCCAATTCCATAATAGTGATACCTGTGGAAAAAAAAGAGGAGTGTTTATGAGTGATGTGTCAAGAGAAGGAAACTGTCAAACTGATTTTCAATGCTTTCTGAAAACTTTTCTTAACAGTGTCTACCAATTTCTTTCACTGACATCAAACAAAATCTGGTCTCAGAGAAAACAGTATTGTCATGATTTGATCCAAAATTCAAGGATAGGATATTCTTTAAATTTAAAACACTTTCTCTCTTACAAGAATGTAGCTGGGACAGCAAATCTCCTAGAAACATTACATCTCTTTTCCGTAATGTGTATTCTCTTTCATTTTACTTCATTTTTTGAAAGTGTGCTGTGTTTGAATCTACCAGGATTATTTTATCAGGCTTACCACTGTTACATTTACACAGTCCCACAGAGCACTTCTCAGTTGAAAATAACTCCCCAGTGTACCCTATAAACTAGTGTTCAGCCTCCTATGACTGAAAATACTCATCCATTCATTTTTCTCTGAGGTTGTAGGCTGACTGATTTTGAAGTATTCAGCCACTTAAGCAGTTCTCATCCACATTTGTCTCCCTTGCTGCTCCCAAACAGAGCTGGAAGAAGGAGACATGTGCCTATCACTCAGGCTCTGCAGTGCTGAGCCCAACACCTTAACCAAAGACACTAGAGAGGGTGGGTTGGTGATAAGAAAACTGGCTATGCAGTGGATACTTACTGCTTCCCACTGTTTTTGCTACAGAAGAAGTGACCTTCAGGAGAAGGGCAGGAGAGCAAGCTGGGGGCAGCTCTTTCTTTACCAGTCATGGCAAAGTTTGCTTAAGTTCATCTATCCAAGGTGATAGGACCTGTCTTAGAAATTCCACTCAATAGATTTAAAAACTGATTTTGTCAAACTGAATTTGTCTAAGAATGTTATGGACAGTATACTCAGGTTAATTTGATTTTTACTAAAATTAGCTTGAAAACACCATGACCGCTGCTTTAACTGAACTGCTTCAAAGTAACACTTGTAGTTCAAGTACACTGTGTGTAAACCAAGCCTAACACAGAGGTAACACTTTGCAATGCATTACACTGATGTCACTGAAACTTCTCAAAAGCTTGAAGAAATGCACTCTCAAGACACAAAACTCCCAGCAAATACCTAACAGAACACATAAATAAGTTTTCTGCTCATCTCTGCTGTTCCTGGTGATGCCCATTAAAAAAATCACAATCTTACTGTTTGCTCTTGTATGTGACAGTCACAGATAAGAACAAAACCTTAAAATGCTTTATATTTACAAAGCTGACTAAAGGCATTAGGTACAAATGATATTTAAGAAGATGTTAATTAAGGTGATATATTTGCTTAGCCTAGGTAGCTTTGAAAATCTCAGCTGAAATAGTCATTCTGTTTCTGGACAGTCTGTTGTGTGCATTCAGGATTTTACAGCCAAGAAACATGACAGAAAGTGGCTACTGTTAAACATCACAGCTTTTATTGTTTGCTTGAAACTGATGAGTCTACATAATACCACTAGATCACAGTGGCACCTGACAACCCATAGGAGGGACAAAAGTTTCTCCCCTATTTCTTTACTGTTAGTTTTCTTGTCCCCTAAGTGCATTTTTCTAAAGGACAGTGATGTGGTGAACTGACCATTTTTAAATACCTGCTAATACTCAGAAGCTCAGACTGCTTATGACCATCTGCTCATAACAGTTCCCCTTTTATCTGTTAAAGTCAGGGTTGGCTGATCAAAGCAAAGTGAGACCTCAAGATGGTTTAGGATGCCAATGGGACCTTTCATTCAATGTCTAATGTCAGACTTCTGTACTCTGGTCCACATACAGTGAACCTATGTGTCACCTATGTTGTGAGTTAAAGTCCTGATGGTTTTCAATCGCTACGTTTAGTTTAGGACTATTAAAGAGACAGACTTGGGCGGAAGACCTAGATCTGGAAATTCCTAATATTTGACAGAGTTCTTACACAAATGCTAAAGGCATGAACATTTTTTCTTCTTTCATGAAAAGGAAGTAATTTTAGATGTGACACAAGAGGTATTGAAAATATACATGTATGGATTCTTCAAAATAACAGCATTTACTTAGTCTTGACATTGCAAGGTTTGTGCATTGAACAGGATGAAAAACAAAATAGAGCTGTGGTTGCTTCTTTAACAATGTTATCTGCACATTTGTCATTGGCCATGTAAGCAAGCAGTTGCCTACATTTCATTCCAACTCTCTAAATCTCCCAGTTTCAATCACATGCCATTTTTTAAATTCTAAAAATAGAATTTCACTCTTCCACCACAAATTTGGAATTCGCCCCTGCTACAGTTGGAGTGGGCCAGAGGCAAGGAAAAGCATTACTTCTTTACGAAGCTAGGATTCAGTATCTAGATTATTCAATATCTAATCCAATATTAACATATTTGGGCTAGAACCAGGAACTGCTGCATGATTTGTATTCTCAGGCTTCCAGTGGTAGACAATATACTTGTTCCTGTTCTGGAATGCCCCAAGATATCAGAATTTACCATTGTGACATATTGTTATGTAAAGAATAGATATTTACTGTACTTATTCTGTGTGTATTAACGGCATAGCAGTTATCATTCTGATTGACTTTAGCAATTTATGTAGTTGAATTTTTAGTACTAAAAAATACAGCTTTCCAGTCATGACACAGAAGCAATTAAAACAATTATAATCTGTACTTTCCAAGTTCTGTCTGGCATACTTCACAGAGTAATAAGGTATGAAGATTTTCATTCTCTTACAAACCAAAGTCATTAACTGAATAGCTTATTTTAGGCTCCCTGTTGAGAGTAGTACACCCATTCCAGACACACTGATAGCATTTTTAATCTACAGCTTCAAGTACCTTCTTTCTGTCTCTTTATATGTATAGTTCTATGTGTATATACAGTATATATGTATTTTACTGTTTATATTTCTATTGTATAATTAATAAAATGAAACCTGTCGTCATAAGGAACTTATTCTCACTTTTGTAACAAACCTTTTAAAAAACAAGCTGCACTGCTTTCCTCTTTTAATTTCAGTGGCTTGTTGTAACATATGTTCCTACGCAGCTAGTAGCCCTGATTTTAGCATACACTGACACAAATGATAGCTGATAAGGAAATGATAGGCTTAAGCTGTTCAGGGACTTGCAATAACTTGTTATCACAGGGCCAGCTGCCATATCAGTTTTATTAACCCACTAAATCACTCCTAATAAATAAGATAATAGTTTCAGACATGATGGATAAAAGCTAAGATTCATCATTGATCAAAGTCTTCTGTGTGTATGGTCTGAGCAGTATGTACATCCTCCTGAAGAGCTGCTCCAGGTAATTAATGTATTGTGAAAGTTATAACTGAATTCTAGCAGTGACCACATATGTTCAACATTACCTATGCAAAAAGGAGGATTCAGAACCTGCGGCACAGACAACTGTTGCCTACGAAATACTTATCTAAGAGAACAGTTTGCAGTATTTACTATGCTGGTCTTCTGCTCAGCAGGACTAGAGAAAACTTCCCCTACATTCAGTAATCTGGAGTGATTAGCATGGGCATGAGAGATGAATGAACTTTGTTAACAAAATTGTGTCTGATGTGTTGCACCTTCTTGGTCAAATGCTTAAATTAGTGTTTTGGTATTGACACTTTTGTACATATGGGTTATTGAATGTAAACACAGAGAGAGAGAGAGAGACTCTGACTTGAAGTTCTAGGTCTTACTAGATCCATTTTTAAGTCTCCTTTACCCAGAACTGGAGATGACAAATGCTACTTGGAATCAGAGAAGGAACTCACAGTTTGTATCTCACACCTTAGAACAGCACCTGTATCCCACACCTTAGAGCAGGAGTTCTTTTTATAATCTAATTCATGCTCATAAGAATGCTAGAAAAAGCTTGGCCTTGTTTTGATGTGGGAGAAAAACAATTTCTGTCAACTTGTAGATGACGGAAAAACAAACATTTTCTTTGCTTTCTTCTGGCCACAGCCAGGCGCTAGCTATCAATAGGTTACCATGTATGCATGCAGTGTCCAGTAAGATGCTTTATTCCTGGGGAGTTAGCTTTTCTTTGCAATATAAGAAAAATTACTCCATTGTGGAAGAATTGCGTTTTTTCTTTCATGCTTTTGCAGCATCTGGCTCAGTAGAGCCCTGGGCAATGATCAGAGCTCCTAGGCAATGCTGCTATATGAAACATCACTACCAGGAATAGTTAGCACTATTACTGCTCCTACTAACATTATATTGAAATAATGATAGCAACAACAGAAACAAAACAATGTCACTACAATACCATGCTTAATAAAACAGGATTTAATTGCTAGTAAGAATTGTTTCTTACTAGTCCCAGTAACCCAGCTTTGTTTAGCACAGAAACAGTTTAAAACATTTAGAGTCCGTGCTGACATAAAAGCAGAGGGTAACTAGGCATTTACTGAAACTGATGAACAGTGCTTTAATTTGTTTATTAATTTAATAGAAATACTTCTGTAGATTGTATTTGTGTGACTAACTGCCACCTGGTGAAAGCCAGAATGAATTTGTTTCTTTGGTGAGTCTGTGGTTCTGAGGGGAATATGGTCCACAACATCAGAGGTAGATAAATAGACAGTCAGAGATCATTATTTATACTGCCACTTTTCTATGACCACTTGCTGCTGTATTCAGTCTCTGAACTGGAAATACTGTAACTTGTGCCTTTTGTAAGGTTATTTTTTGCACAGCAAGAACAATTGTAAATGCATCTTTGGAAATGAGAATTACAGAGGAAAAGTCTCTGAAGAAAACTCTGATGGAAAAAAAAAAAGAGAAACAAATGCCAGATGTTCAAACAAAACCTGCTAATGCCTCATCCCTTTGAGAAGATTGTACAAGAACAGTTAATCCATATGAAAATATGGCACATAATGCCACCAAGGTCAATATGAATATGGGATCTGTTGAAGAAATGCTGGGCATGAGGTATTTCTGTGATAATGCCGTTAAATGCCTTAGAAAAAAGAGGAAAATAGTGACACATGTCCCAACACAATTAATTTTGTAGCTAGATTCCTATGTCAAATACTAGATTTGGAACATAATCCTTTACTTAATAGAGGTTGATTTACTGTGCTTTAAATTATGCAGACACATTATATGTTTTGGAAGTTTGGATCCTGATTGGATCTTGTTTATCAATTCATTGAATATGTCAGAACAAAAATACAATGAGCATTAGGGAGACTTTTTCCCTTGTATTATCTCATTCATTACAGTTTGAAAGAGGTTCTCCAAATAGGTTGGGTTATGAACCTAAGACTTTACCAAGGCATTGATAAATTAGTAGGTTGTCAAATATTCCTGCACAGATTGTGAATGCCAGATCTCCTAAAATCTTAAACACAACACCAGCAGCAAATGTCCATCTGCAAAGCTAAATCTACATCAGAATATGCCTGTAACCATAGCTGAAGTTCACGACGGCAGACAGTACATGAAATCTCTCTATTCTATAAATAACCTTTCTAATAGTAACTATCTTCAAAACCACTATATTGGGCATCTATAGGTCATCTAAAAAAAAAAAAAAAAAAAAAATATTCAATGCAGACTGTGTACTCTCTTCTGAAAAAAAGTCAATTAATTATAAATTTGTAAGACTGTGACAGAAACTATGTTTTCCTGTGTTAAAAAAAGGACAAATATTCTATGTAGACTTTATTTTCTTTGGATTTTATTTTTATTAATGATTATTTAAAATAAATACTTGAGACATACTCAAGAAATAGGATGTATGTAAAAATTTGGAATTTAAATTCTTCCCCACATTCTTTTATAATGCAACGAAACCTAAAATTCACAAATGATATCTCCAATGCATTCTTCAGCAAAACTAAGGTGGAATCAGCTGGCTATTTTTTATATTTCTAAGGCAGGAATAAAACCAAGCATAACAACATGAAACAACCCCTCAAAATTATAAAAGTAAACAATGCATCTTTCAGACATTCCTACTATTTTGCAAAGCACTTAGGAAAACCAGTCTTGTACTTTTTTTCCTTTTCAGTCTCATTTTGTTTAGAGCTTTGCTTATAAATTACTAAAAGACAAGAGTTAACTTTGTCTTTCAAGGCTAAGTTATTCAAAATAAAGAGTTTTTCCAAACAAACAAAATGTTTGAGTTTCTTCTGTTAATACCAGTATTCTGGATTTCTTATTCATCAGCAAAATGTTTCTTTACTAATATTCTGAGGATTGTTTTTTTGTTTCAGTAAACCATCAACTCTGCGCTGTCTTCTGTAAGTCAAAGATAGTTTCCTGAATCTTATTCAGTAAGTACCTAAACACATTTGTAATTTTAAGCATGAGAAAAATCCTAGGGCTACTCACATATTTACAGGCATGCATCTCCTAAAATATAGGCATTAATAATAAATGTTTAATTTTTGTGTATGCACAGAAAGCTGGACACAATATCTATCTTAATATGATCCTCATAACAATGTCTTATTTTTAGGAAAACCTACTTTGAAATCAATAGAAATACATAGATCTGGTCCAAATTCGATTTGGGATTGAAAACCATTAAGTTTTTGGAGTTACTTTAAAAGAACAAAATTATTTAACTAGCCTTATTTTATGTTGAATGGCATGGGCACGCTATTTAGGTTTAAATATTTTTTTTAACTGGATATTGATAAACACTGAAAGAACAGTTTAAAGCAAAACACTCGGAAAAGCTCAGAGCCAATCTTGGTTCCAGGCGATACAGAGAACCACTGCATTTGTGACTCCCCAAATAGGGATGGAAGTTTCCTAGAGTTACCTAACTCACAGCTTGATGCTAGGAATGCCCTAGAGCATTATTTCAACTTCTCTACATTCCTCATATCAATACACCACATGTTTTTTCACTTCCTTAAGAGGTAGCATTCCCCTAATAAATAAGCAAAATCAGACTGGGGACAATTCATCAGTCCTTCCTCAGCAGTCTTGATATCAGGACATAGGAGGGAGGGTGGATGTAAGGGAATATGTTGTTACCACTGCTCAAGACAGTTTTACACTAACTTTACCATGGCCAAAAGCATAATGCCAGAAACAGAACTAATAAAAATTTCACCACAGGGATATATAATTATCCGTATCTATTCCTACAGCCTAATATTCCACAGATCAAATATACAAATTGGATACATCTGATACATTATTTATGAAATGACTACACTATAGGTTGTGTACTTTTCATAGTTTTTATAAATTACCCACAACAAAGAGCAGACTTGCACTTTTTTTCTCAATTTAAGACAAAGCTTTTTTCTAGTGTCTTTAAATGAATCCATACTGTTAGGAATAGAACACACTGAAAGTTGTTAAGTTTGCAAAAGGCAAACAAAATCAGTTAAACTGCACATTATTTATAGGAAAATGAGCAGCTCTAACAAAGATACATATATTATATAACCTTTTTCATATATAACAGTTTGAGATATATTTGCAACAAATGCATGGCTCTATAAATATAATGACAAGTTTTAGAAGCTTAATCAGTTTAACTTCAGAAATTATGCCTGAAGTAATGTTTTCAGATTTGAACTCTCTGTCAGTTTCATCATGTACATGAAAGTTATAACTTGCAGCTTGTCATCGGAATAAATCCCCGTGCAAAACAGTATATGTTATGGAGACATGGAAATATATGTCACTCCTCGAATGTATTCTCTAAATGGATAAACACATAATTGTGCCTTACTTTGAATGGCCCCTTGTTCCAAGCCGCCTTGTGGTAAGGAGAGGGAATTTCTGACGAATAGTCTAAAGAGAAAATAACTGTATTAATTTCTAACATGGATATACTTTCTTAGCAATATGTTTCTAGAAAAATATTAGTGTAAATATATTGTCTAATGTAGTCCATGAGTATGTCTTATGTCACAACATAATTAAGCATGTTTTACACTGCAGGGGTCCTTCTATCCTTGTCCATCTTGCTGACTATCTCCAGTCTTCCCACCCACAAACTCCTTCCCACCCTTCCCACCTGTTCTTCCTTTCTGCTTTCACTTCTGTGATTTAAAATCTAGTTTTCTTCACCAGGATCCCATTTCATTCAGGTCCCTAAAGTACAACTGTGTCGTCTGCTTCAGAGATCTAAACCAAACCAAGGAAAGATCTGCCCTCTAGCTATTCTGTTTTCAAAGTCAAACTACTAAAAATAATTTGATTTTTGACATGAAAAATGAGATCTGAAGGTTAAATCAAGCAAATAGTTGCCTCACAGGTACTCCTGTGTCTACACTGTCAAAGTGCTCGACAGTGTTAAACTTACTTATGCTCACCAAAACCCTGTGGAAGTTTCTGTTAGCTCTATGCTCCACATAAAGAACTCAGGTTATGTGATTTAACCCAAGTCAAGCAAAACATTCTGTCACTGGATTGAGATTAGTGCCCTAAAAACATCCTACTCTTCCTGTAAAGGAAGATGCTTAACGTGAAAGAATTATTAACTAAAAAAGTAATTTAGTAATAGAGGTAGATCTAGTAGATACATCTGATAGATTACCATTGGAACAATGTTTAAATGGAAAGCTGTTGTCTTCCTCATTTATACCAAAGCTGTGTAATGAAAATTAGACATACACTTTCTCAGTATACCTCATTCAAGAGGAAAAAATTAGTAAGTGAACATTTTATGAACTGGATTTTAAAGCCATTATTATTATTTAATTAAATTAATGCATTTTGCTATGTATGAACAATGACTAGATCAGTAGTGTTTAAAAAAAGATGATCCTTGAAGCAGTTTGGGTTTCCTGTTTCACTAACTACTCAGGATTTAATCTGGTAAATTTACATCTCCCTTTCATTAAATTATTTCAGGATTAATTGTAGAGAAGGGTGGAAAAGAGGATGAATCAACAATTTTTCATTCAGGAGCTCTTTGTGTTATTAATTTTTATTCCCTCTCGTATTGCTTCTTGTGTCACATCTCACTTTACACTGCCTTTAGTATAATTAAAAGTGTCTTCCATGTCAGATCTGGTATTGTGGAAAGAACCCTATTGATGTCATCATCTTTTGGGGGGAAAAAAAAAAAAAAAAAGGTCTCAAAGACAATGCCTTTTTTGTATGAAATAACAATAAATCAAAGAGCATTTCAGCTTTATTCTCCTAAAGTTGATGTCATGAAATCCCTTCATATGGAACAGTGTAGGTAGTTGACTCCATGTACATTAGCAGTAGAAAACATGTGAATTTGAGAGGAATTTTGACCCAGGTGTACTAAACTGTGATTCTACAAAAGATATAATCTAACAAGTTATGAAGGTATTTAGTCTTTACCTTTCCAAAAGTTGCAGCACAAGCAGGTTCCAACTTCTCTTTTCTGCAAAAGTCTAAATAATGTGCATAAAGGATGCATCTTGGTAAACAAACTCCTTCACAGACAATGTAGTTTTCTTCCAGCCTGTATAGGGAAAGAAACCGCAAGAGTAAGAAGCAACATGCCAAGTCTCCCAATTTTATTTTTTTTCTGGGTTTTGGTACTGTCCTTTATTTTTTTTTTTTTTATTTTTATTTTTATTTTATTTTATTGAAGAATTAGATGAGATCACACCGATTAGTTTCTCCTGAACAAGTCAGACTCTACAGACTGACTTCACACTTGGTGCTTTGGTTAGTTGCAGAATATGGAAAACCTGGGGCCAGGTCCGTTTTCTTAATGAGTCTTTTTCAATGTCTGGACTTTTTTGCTTTACATAAATAATTAAATGATCCTCACCTAAGAGCCAGCCTTGCTCTGAAAATAAGAGCACTAACTAGACTATGAAAGCCTTGGGTTTAAGTCTGTTCTTTGTGTAGATCAGGGACTTGAACTTCTGTTCCACTGTACCTCTAACACCTGGACTAATGTTTCTTTTCTTCCTACTTTTGATTTTTAATTTCCATGCTGGACCTGAAACTGTTTCTTGATCAAATCATACTGAAAAGAAACAAGCTTCACAATCAGTTTACACAGAATACAAGTGCCTAGTGATGGTCATTAAAGTAAAATTTTTAAAACTGAAGTAAAAAAACCTGGCTGTCTTCACTTGAACTGAACTCTTGCTAACAGCTGGGTATTTCACTGTTGTCCTGTTTCTTTTCTTTATCAGTTTACATTATTTGCTACTCCTGGGATGATGTGCAATAAATTTATTTCTCAAATTACATAAATCTGTAAGAAAATACTGTGTAGTAAATGCTGCATACTGAGTAATTTTGCACTGACTCACCAGACTTAAATCCTTACAATTTACACTCAGATGTCAGACATAAACTAGACTAAGAAACTCGATGATTAGTATTACTCTCATTTTTCAGTGAGAAGGAAAAACATCTAGATTCACAGTCTGCATTTGGTAACTAAGTTTCCATTTAATTCAACAGAACTCCTCCCTAATTTCAAGCCTGCTTTAACAGAAACATTTATCAATTAATGTCTGCAGAATTTGACCTCTTATTTGGTTAATTTTTGCCCAGAAAGAAAAGAAGTTAGGGCTTCCATGGATGGTAGAATATCATGTAAAAAAACACATTATAAGACAGTGAAAATCTAACAGTCATAGACTTAAAAGATAATTGAAACATCCCCTCATATATGGAGTTCTTAAGTAATTTCTACATTTTTTCGATACACTTCATCAGTGGCCACATACTGTGAGAATCCGAGAGAGATTTCTGTTAACGGATAGACCCACGCTAATTTTAAAAAATCAGAAACTTGGGGGTGGATGTCCTTATTTGCAGAAGAGGCTCATCCGACAAAACCCCAACTAACCAAACACCCCACAACCGACATATATTTCTGAAAGAGCCGTGAGACGTAACCCTCCTTGCCGGCTCAGCTTTTCAAGAAGCGTCCCTCTGGGCCCGGGGGACAGACACACCGGCTCGGTCCCTGTCTCT